GAAAAGCTTTGGACATTGTCAGTGTAGAGGGATGGTGTTTGCACCTTTGTGACTGGCTGAGCTCTCCAGGTGGGTGAGTGTAGCTGGAGAGGAGAACAGACATGGGGACCTTGCTTTGGGGCCCTTGATATTTCGAGGTCAGGGAAGGCGGAAGGGAACAAGTGGAGGAGACTGTCGAAGAGCAGCCAGTGAGGTGGCTGCAGAACTGAGAGAGAGAGTGATATCTCCAGCGCCAAGTGGAGGAGGAAGTGATTAACTTTGTTAAATTCTGCTGATGAGCCAAGTAAGGTGCGCCTGATTAGGGACAATCGGATTTAGTCACAGGGTGACTTTGACAAGAAGGTGTGTGTGTGAGTGATGAGAAGAAACTTCAAGAGAGAATGGGGGCCAAGGAACTGGAGACAACTCTTCTGAGTATCTCTACATGCAGTAGAGACATGGGACAAGAACTGGAGGAGATATGGGGTCAAAAGGAGGGTTCTAAGAATGGGAAGTACTCTGGCTGCTGTCTGTAAACTGAGAATTATCCAGCAGACAGGGGAGATGGATTGTGCAGGAGAGAAGGAGCAAAGGCAGGAAGACATTCGTGGGGAAGATGGCGGGGGATATGATCTAGTGCGCAAGGGGAGGGCTGGCTTTAGGTAAGAGCAGGGACAATTCTTCCGTCTTATCAGGAGGGAAGGCAGAGTGCTTGGACACAGCTGCAGGTAGGTGGGAAGATGTCGTGGTGGGAGCCTGTGGCAATTCTTTTCTGGTTCCTTCTATTTCTCAGTGAAATGTGTTTTGAAATGGGCAGTTATCCATTACCGATGGAAGTGTAAATGTGCCTTTTGGTATTAGTCTTCCCGGCTTGGCAGATGGGCATCCTCTTGCCCCCAAACAGGGCTACGTGGATATGCCAAGGAGTCCTTAGAATTGGTACTATTGGAGTCCCTGGCTGATTGGAGCATCATCTCTGCCAACAAAAATCCAAGATACAGGGTGTCCATGAGTCACTGTGGTTTGGATTTCTAATAAATTCGCTTCCATATAAGATATAAACAATGTGTGAAATGTAACCCAGAGAGAATTTACTAGAGATTTAAATAAAGCTGGTTATGTTTGGTTTTTCTTCCTTTTTTTTTTTTTTGCAGGTAAGGAGATCTACATTACACTGAAACGGCTATATCTAAGTGTGTCCAAAATGATGGTGGATGCATTGAAAGTCGACCTTCCTGCAACGAACTGTGCTAAATCTCAAATAAATTCTCTCTTTGTTTCCTTTTGAAGACTGTATATTTTTCATAGACATGAGCTTTTTAAACACTCAGATTGCACAGGACCTAACGGGAGCCCCGTTCAGCTCCAGCTCTTCTCCCTCTAAGACGCCCCTCCCTCTCCAGAGCAAGTGTCATCCCCTTCTTCTCTTCCTCGAGTTTCTTGGTTTTTTTCTCCCATTTTTAAAATATGGTAAAACATACATAGCACAAAATTTACCATCTTAACCATTTTTAAGTGTACAGTCCAGGGGTACTAAGTACCTTCATATTATTATATAACCATCACCATCCAGCTCCTGAATTCTTTTCATTTTGCAAAACTGAGACTCTAAACCCAGGAAACAATAACTCCCCTGACCCCCACCCCTTGCAGATTTTGTGGGGCTCTGATGGCTTCTCCTCTGCTCCCTTAACCGAGTGCTACGTCATCTCTTTTTCCTTAAAATACTTCTTTTGTGATGTTATTGGTCACTTTTTAAAATCCTCTTATCCCTCTTTCTTTGCTCCCTGCTGAAGAGCAGACTTACCACCTCTTCTGGAGAACAGCAGTCTTTTTTTCCCTCTCTGCCCCTTGAAGTCAGTAGCTGGTGTTTTATAAAATAACAAAAGTCCACAATATCCCGACTAGAAAGCCTGGGAAGGTGGGGGTGTGCTAAAGTCCGGGATTGCGGTTCCTGGAGAGTCAGCACCACAGCATCGTCTTTCTGAAAAGCAATATTGCAGTAGCTAGCAAGAGACACACAGACACTTAAATCCATTGACCCAATAATTCCTCTTAGACGATCAAAGATACGCACAGAGTTACATTCAGCACAGTGTTGTACATAATAGTGAAAAACTGGGAGTTGCATCCATGTCCATCAGTAGGTGCTTGGCTCAAAAAGTCTATATGGACTCCTGTGCAGCCATTAAAAATCCTGTTTGAATTTAAGACATGAGAAAATATTTATGCTATATTAAATGAAAAAATAAAACATAAAACTGTATGTGTGTTATGATCACAAATATTTTTTAAAAAAAATATGTATCTGCGGAAAAAGACACGGTAGAAAACTCTGTTAAACCACTGTCATCTCTGGGAGGTGGAATATGGTGTAATTTTAAATTTTTACACATTTCTTTATTTTTTCGCATTTTCTATGACTGTGCATCTCTTTTATAATCAGAAAAGATATAAAGAATATAAACAAACCCATTGAAAACTGAACAGTCTTACCTAGTATTCAAAGAAATTAAAATTAAAATTTTATTTTGTTTCCACATAAATAAATGAGGAAATATGGAGTGAAAGAGTAATTTTCCTGCTGAGCATGTTTTGTGGTTTCTAGTGCTCTCTAGGGTGTGTCTGTGAAGGGACATTTGCTGTTGCCTAACAGCGTGCCTTAACAACAGAGTTGGAAACATGATGCCACACATCCTTGAGAAAAGAACTTGGCCCTCCCATGGATGCAGGGTGTCTTGAAGAAAAACTGGATATTTCTAAATTTGCTAAGACCTATTCTCTCACTTGCTCTCAGATAATACTACTCTTGGGTAACCCAAAATGTGATTGTCAACTCAGCAAGTTAAGCAAACATTATTACAAGTCATGCTAAACCGAAGTGGTCCCCATGGGCCAGGGGAGTATAATGTGGGTGGAGAAGAAAATTAGCTTCTGAGTTAGGAGAGACTGCCCCAATTTTGAGGGCACTAATGGGATACCATCTAGGGGCCAGGTGGCACCCAAGGCGGACTTCTCTGAGTTGGTTTGTCACATTCCCGGGTGTAGTTGTCAGCTTTGTGAGACCAGAGATGAAGTCCCTTCCTGGGAGTTCAGGGATAGCCTCTGAGAGAGAGATGATGGAAGGCCCACCAGACCCTTTACACACTCCAGATACAGTGGGGTTTAGGGGATGATAGCTCTACCCAGTAACCCTATCCTTCTTGGTGGCAAGGTCCCTGGGAAGCTGACTTCTCCCACAAATGGTCATTTAATGAGCATAGAATAAGCCTAAAGTGAGTAGGATTATTTGGAAGTGACTTGGCATTTCCCCCACCTGCTGGGGCAGCCCTAGGATGTGGCCATCCCTTGACAGCAGCCCCCTCTCATCTAAGGCTCCGTCCGCCCAGATCCTGCTGTAGGCTGCTGAAAGCATTTGCCTCTGGGAATCCCGGTATCCTTTGCTGATGAATCTCTGTTGACCATTTTTTGTTAGAGATACTGATGTCGCAGAACAGCTATCACCAAAGGCTGCACCGCCTAGGCGGCACCTGTCATTGTGAGTGGATCAATTCCGTTAAATTCTGCCTTGTGGAGGGCAGACCTCCCCTAAGTGCCCAAGTCATCCATCTGCAGACCTTTTTTATGGGAATTTTCTTTTGCCTGCCTGTGTTCTCTGCTCTTAGAGGCAGGATTGGTCTGCATTTCCCCCCCCAGCTTTATGGGGATTTAATTGACATATGATAATGTATGAGTTTAAGGTGTATGACAGTAGTGATTTTATATACTCTGTATATTTTGCAAAATGATCACCACAATATGGTTAGTTACATCTATCACCTCACATAGTTACAATTTTTTGTGTGTGTGATGAGAACTTTTAAAATCTACTCTAACAACTTTCAAATATATAATACAGTATTGTTAACTGCAGTCACCATAGGATTACTCTGTATTTTTATCAAGATGAAGAAGGAATCAGCAGACTGAGAGTCAAGGCATCTACCCCTTTCATTAATTCACTGTGTGATCTTGGGCCAGCCTCTGACCCTCTCTGAGCCTCCTTGTCCTTACCTGCAAAATGTAAGTTTGGACCCAATTATCTATGACTGCCCACAATTCTGTGATTGAAGAACTAAGAAAAATAAGAAGACAACAAGGTTGAGATAGTATGGGAAAGTTTCAATACAGTAATAATAGGAAGAAAAAGAATCAAATTAGTCACCACCACTTCTTTGAGCTTGCTTTGCCAGGCTGTGCTGTGAACTTTGTGGAGGTAATCTTACAAAATCCTCATAATCCTAGGAAGCAGGCACTACTTTTATTCTTATTTTCCAGATGAGGACACTGAGCCTCAGAGACGTTAAGTAACTCGAGGAAGATCACAGACTCGATATGTTGGGACTTAGGCGTGGAACAAACTCTCTCTGCCTCTGGAGTCCGTCATTTCCCTCTGTTTTTGGGATGTGCAGACCTCAGAAGCAGTAATGGATGTGATCCGATTGTGCTCTAGGCCAACTGTCCTTTTCAAACCTGGCCGCCTTTATTCAGATACCACATCATTGCTATTTAGCGTTTTTTAATGAACTTCCTTACTCTCCCCCTATTCTGTCTTATTCAGAAAAATGAATGAATGAGTGTTTCTTATGATACAAATTTAATTTTTTTCTAGAAAGGAAAGTGTCTGTTCCTCTACTTTTGTTTCTCAAGCCAAAAGATTTTTTTCTCTCTTCTTGGGAGGCCAGAAATAGGTTAAAATTCAATTTAAAATTTCATGATTGAACAGCTGGAATGAAGATCAAGTAATAAGGGAGCAATCTTGTGAACACCTTGAGGAGAACGCCCCCTCCACTGGTTGTTTGAGCCAATGCTCCAGAAGGTTCCCGCCACCCACTCTGCTCCCAATGCCTTTCAATATTCACACACATTTCTCCTGAGAGCTCAAGAGCCCCAGGCTCTCACACGTCTCCTTTATATCCACCATCCACCAGTCTACAGTAGCTTCCCCTCCTTTGCCTAGAGAACACCTTACCCTTAAAGACTCAGGTCAGATGTCTTTATTACCCAAAGGAAATAATTGAAGAGGAGAGAGGAAATTACACAGACAAAAGTGCTTTAAAATAGGTATTTGCTATATATTGCAAACAAGTGAAACATTTATCAACAGAGTAATGGTGAGCAAATTACAGTACGTGATCTTGATGAAACATGATTCATTCTCTCATTGGTTAAACAAACATGCTGACTGCCAAGGAGGCATCAGAAATAGAGCAAGGAGTCAGATGCCTTCAATGAATACACAGCCTGGCAAAGTCTTCTGAAATGCTCCTTGCAAAACCCTATGGAAACAGAGAGCCATTTGTGGCAGATTATACAATTGTACATTATGAGTACAACTCTAAACACGTGAGGGGATGAGCAAGGTCTGGATGGGCAAATGGAAATGTTGTATGGTTAGGTTATAGATGACACTTTCTTTAGCATTGTTACAATTGTTCTTCAAGCTTTGAAGTTTTAGAACATCTCAAATGTTTACTGAAAACAGAAAGCTGCTCTTGTGACCCTGGCTCTCCACATCGACTGTTGCATGAACGTTGGGGGTTCTCTCCCGATGGATGGGGGCTTGCCATGAGGTGATTGGGAGGGAACGTTCAAGGCAGTCTGGGAGGGTTGGGTCAGGGAAGGCTATCAATCTCACATCCAGGAGTGTCCACTGAGTGCCACGGTAGGGACCAGCCTCCTCTGTGTCTGGGCTACATTACACAGCAGAGCCTGCAGTCTCCTCCAAGCTCTGTCAACACTACTGCTTAAGTGCCAGGTAGGGGGAAAGCTGAAGTCTGGGAACCAGACAAGAGGGTTGGGACCTGCAAAAGTTGGTGGCTGGTTCTTCATGCTGGAAAGGATGCTCTCTAGCTGAAAAAGAAGTATTATCTCCATTCTACAGATGAGGAAACAAGCTCAGTTGGCCCTAAGCCAACCAGTGGGTAAGTGATAGAGTTGAGATTAGAAATCATCCCTTCTTAGTTTGGGCCAGGGTTCTTTCTATTTCTCCCTCTGGGTCTGGAAGCAGGTGGAGACGCATGAGGTCAGATGGGAGAGACCTGGCTGACAGGGTAGGTGCAGTCCTTTGGGAATGGGAGACAATGGGGAACCTGTTGGTGGGACCACATGATGGAGGGTCTCAGAGGTCAGGCATTTAAGTTTGAATTTGATGCAGCAGGCACCGGGAAACCTTTGTAGGTTTGGGGACACGATAGAAGGGAGTTTAAGGAAGAGGAGGCTGGCAGTAAGTGCTGGCTGGTATGATCAAGGCGAGGCTGAGCCAGACACATGGTGAAGTTGGTGGGCAGCACCCACCCCTCCAGCTTCTTGGAAATACATCTTCTTGCACCTCTAACCATGAGTTTGGAATGGAAGCTGCCATCTTATCTATCCCTTGCCTATGGATACCACCACCTGGTCCAGGGATGGGCATCTGATACAAACTTGGCTAATCAGAGCCCTTCCCCAGGAATTTTGACCTTGAGACCCTAGAGGAATGGGTCTCAGTCCCTCTCTGATAACAAAGCTGCATTATGCGAATCTGGGAGCTCTGTCACCCCGGGATATTTGAGAGTCAGAGAGAGGAAATTCTAGCTAGATTCAAGCCCTGGTTTCCACACACTCTGAGGGCTCAGCCACCCCCGTCCATGCTGCTGTGTGAACAATACTCACCACTTCCTTTTTAGCTAAGCTAGTCTGAGTTGAATTTTCGTCATTTGTAAACAAAAGAGTCTTGACATTTGCAATAAGAAATATTCCCACCCTTTATCTTTCAAATTTTGAGCACAATTCTCAAAAACATCTTAGGGTTGTTTTTTTAGGCATTGGGTCCATCATTTCTTGCTTGTAAGAAACAAAAAAAATCTGTCCTCATTCTTCTGTGTCAGATTCAGAAACTCCAGGCTCTCTGTAGGGAGGAGGCTTTGGGGATCCCTTCAGACATGGAGGGACACCTCTCCATCACTGGTGTAGTGGGTAAAATTGCTGCTCAGAATGCTTTCCCGCCTGCCTGTTTGTGACTCAGGCGGGGAGAAACCGGTGTCTACAGAATAACAGCACAGGACAGCCAGGCATTTCCTGTACAGGTGGGAAAGGTATCTTCTGAACTTCTCTCCAGCAAAGGCATAGATAATGGGATTGAGGCAACAGTGGATAAATGCTATTGTCTCGGTCACACCGATGGCCAATTTCAGATCCCTTTTCATGTCACAATCCGGAAAGAAGTCGTAGAGATTGAGCGTCTCTAAGAAAATCATGATGTTGTAGGGTGTCCAGAAGAGGAAAAATACGATGACCACCAGAAGGATCAGTTTAATAGCTTTAGCTTTCTTGCGGTTCTTGCAGGAGAACAGCGTCCGCATGATTCTGAAGTAACAGTAGATCAAAATGAGCAGCGGGAGCAGGAAGCCAAGAGCATTTGCTTCTACATTGCGGAGCACGGGCCAGATGTCCTGCAGGACCTCGGGGTAGTCACCAAGGCATTCATTTTCTTTTTGTTTTGTGAACATGAACTGGGGTGCTGCCACCAAGATGGCTGCTGCCCAGACGCCCAGGCTGATGGTGACGCCGTGCGTCACAGTCCGGTTGTTCATGGAGTTGGCGGCCAGGACAATGGCCAGGTACCTATCGATGCTGATGATGGTGATGAAGAAGATGCCTCCAAAAAACCCGATGAAGAAGAAGGCAGTGGTGAGTTTGCACACGGCATTGTGAAAGCCTTGTTCACTTCTCAGATAGTGAGTCCAGAAGGGCAAAGTGGCTACAAAAAGCAGATCGGACAAGGCCAGGTTCAGGAGGTAAATGTCGGTGATGCTCTTGCGCTTCCGGCTGTTGCTGAGGGAAAAGATCACCAGCAAATTTCCCACCAGGCCAAACACAAAGACAAGGGAGTAGACCACGGACAGGAAGGCAGTCCCAAAGACCACGATGTCCTCCATGTTACAGGCTTCTGCAGACTCATCGTACTGAAAATCGTCCGAGATCGGCTCAGGGAAGTGGGTGGGCATGGTGAGGGCCTGGATCAGAAAGGAAAATAAGTAACAGCATTAGTTCTCGAGAAACAAAGTTAGAATTCTGTCTGGCCCCAGGCATAGGCGAGAAACACATACTGGTTGGGTGTCTGACCAATACATTTCCCAGTGTCACACATGCCATCTTGTTTAATCCCCACAACAGTGTCTGAGTGAGGCTGGAACAGACTCCTTTGACAGAAGAGGAAACCAAGTCTCTGAGAGGTTCAGTAACTTGCCCAAAGCCACACAGTAAATGGCTCAGCGAGCACTTGAATCTAGGCCTTTTGAAGCTTGAGACATCGCTTTTTCTTTGCTTTTCAAAAGTTTCTCTGAAAGGTAGCTAGCTTGACCAGCACGTGGACAGCAGCGGAGAGGACTACGGGTGGGGAGGCGAGGCAGTGGCTTAGCAGAGAGGTGCAGCTGTAATTCACACCTCCAGTCCAGCGCCTCCTTTTATTCCCACCTCCTCTACCCTCTGGACCCTGATTTCTCCTGTACGAAGCCGAGGCTGAAGAGAGAGGTCTCAGCCACTCTCCAGAGCCCTGAGCAGACCTGTGCCCAGAAGCCCTCATCTTTGTTTTCGAGAGCCATTTCTTTTCCTCTTCCTCTTGCAACCAACAAGTCCTTCTCTTCCTTAAGGGGTGAGACATAGAGTCACACAGTCAAGGGTGACTACCTCATCTTGGTTTGCCCAGGACTTTTGTGATTTTAGCACCGAAGTTTCACATGTCAGAAACTCCTCAGTTCTAAGCAAACTGCAGCGGCTGGTCATCCGATAACTCCAAGTGAAGAGAAGGTGTGGCCATCACCCGGGCCTTTGCAGTCAGGAAGGGCTGATGGGTCCCTGATGGAGGGCTGTGTTCAGTTAGCCTGCTGGGCTGCCCCCCGGGGGCTAGTTAACCCGATAATTACCACCCGTGCTTCACTTCGACCCTGACTTCCCCACTTTTCTTATTTCCCGTTTCTCTCTTAACAAAAACTGAAAGATAAAACATTTCTGCACAGGTTGGGAAGGAAAACTTATCTCATTCCCCTCAACTTCTCCCAGCCAGGACTCACTCCTCATTCACTCCAGAGGCTGCAAGGGTAGCACTTTCGCTCTGGTCCTCTGGGGCCTGCTCCTCTTCCTTGTGACACCACAGACAGGCCCCTTAGAAACCCCAGGTGTATTCAGAACACACCTCCTGGCTGTCACTGCCTCCCTCCCCATGCAACTAAAAGCGAACTCTTGCTTCTTTAACCAAGGGAGTGTCCACACCCCGCTGCATCCTTTCCTTGTTGGTTTTACCGAGATGGTGTCTGCCAAAGTGAGAGCCCACCCAGCCGGGGCTTTGCTCCTCCCTTCTCAGCCTCTGCTTTGCGTCCTGGCCCATGTCAGCATCTTACTCAGACTCTTCCAGGATGAAGCTGGCCAAGGCTTTCTGACCTGGGCCGTCTCAGGCTGGGATGGAGCTCTGAACCCGAGGGAAAGTCTATGTGTTGTTTGCTTTAGGCTGCAATGCCCTTTTCTCAGAGAGGACGTCTGGCTGTGACCTTAATGATGTTTAAGTGGAACCACATAAAATGGCTGATAAGCAACCATTTTTGAACCACACATATGTCAGTTTCAAGTGGCTCAAACTGAGAGATAGGGACACAGGGGGTTTGCTACTTGGGGCCAGTGGCTTCTTGCAGAGGCACGTCTTACAGACATGCAGCCATGGAGGAGTATAAATAGTCAGGCCCTTGGTGCTTATGAGTTAGGGGCCTGGGGCTAGCTACCCTCTCCCGTCTGCCCTCCAGTGAAAAGAGCTGGCAAAGCTGACCTCAAGAGGAGCCCAAGGCCGATAAAAGTCATTCTGCATCTCTTCGCACCTGTGCTCAGTCCTGCAGCCCAGGAACATCGTGCTTTGGGATCAGCTCGGTTTTGCCAAAGCTACGGGTGAGTTAGATTTCCACTCTTGGCACTGTGCCTTGCACACAGGGACCTCCTAAAGTCTTCAGGGAAGGATCCCGGGGTCACTGACAGGGAGGGCAGGGAGGTGGGCGGGAAGGGTGAGGGATGTGTGACTTGGGCTCTCCTGAGACTGAATCCCACATCTGCCCGCTCTGGCCGAGTGACCTTGGGCGACCTTGGAACCTCAGAGCCTGACATTTCTCATCTACAAGGCTGGGATTCATTCTCATGCCTGCCCACAGCACTGTTCTGAGGGAAGCACCTGGCACAGTGTGTTGCACACAGCAAGCACTTAATAAATGCACAAGGTGAGGGAGCAGAAGCACTTCGGACCTGTGGGATCATCCAGGCTGCCTGTGGACGCTCACGTTTTGCTCCCACCCTAGCCATTGTGTAAAGTTTGCTTTATTTTTTTTCCCCTGAAATAAAAAATGTTTTCTTTTCAGATTTTTTTTGGGGAGGGAGAGGGAGTAAGCCAACATTTACGGAGCTTTTACTAAGATGTCAGGCTCATTGTAATTCTGAAAGGAAAGTCCTGTGTCTAATTTACCACCCCCGAATGGCTCAGGGATGTTTGTGATAAGAGGAAGGGGTAGGCTGGGACAAGAGCGTGGAGAAGGCAGGGATAGTTAGAAAAAAACAACTGACTGCCTTGCTGAGTGTCAAGGAGGTCCCAAATCCACCCATTGCTTGCTGGGTGCCCTGGCTCAGGGCTGCTACATGCACAGGGACACCTTCTCTAATTTGCACCAAGAGGCCAAATAAGCCAGGAGTGGTCCTGGTTGGAGGGTCAACATCCATTCAGCAGACCATCTGAAGTCCCCGCAGGCACTGGGCTCGGCATGGCAGGGAGCACATGGGGAGATCAGTCAGGCACAGTCTGGGCCATGAAGGGGCTTCTCATCTCAACAGGGAACAGTGCACATGGGCAAAGACTTTGATGAAGGCAGCTGCAGGGAGTGTGTCAATCTGTCCTCTGCAGATGAGAGGCAACTTCAGGGACGCGATCAGAGGGATCATTTTGCCTGACTGTTGGTCTCATTGCTTATTGAGAGCAAAATGGCTGGTCAGGGAACATCTGTCTAGCTTGGGACCACTACCTGCCATCCTGAGGGTTCGCTCAGGTGAGGGTTCATTAACACTTAGCGGTCTCTTCCTGGCTCCCTAGTGGCTCAGAGTCCTCAGCCAAGACCCCAGAACCGTCCTTGTCTCCCACTGTTCTGCCTGAGCTCTTGCAGAGTGCTATGCACGCAGTGGATGCTCACGCAGCATATTGTGATCCCTGCCATGAGCAATTCTGCACCTTGTACAGAGGAAGGAACGGGAGGGGCACAGCTTTCAATGAGCTCCTACGTGAGTCTGAGGAACTGCACAGTCACTCCAGAGAACTTACTCCCCGTGCCATTCACATGTCCGTTTGCACACACTACGCTCAGCAGGGTCACAGCAAGGTTTAGCAGCTGGCTCATCATACAGCTAGAAGTGGGGGGAGTGGGGCTGAGGCCGCATCCACACTCGTGCCCCTTCCCCTCTCCCTTCCCCAAGATGACGCAGACAAAGCCAAACCCTGGAGGGGAGAAGACATAAGGACTCAGTGAATACCAAAGAAAGCAGAACCCAGAACAGGTGGTAAAAGCCATAAACGCAACCATCTCAGTTTCCCTCTCTAAAACAACCTCATAGGTTTGTTGAGAGCATAAGAATGAAATAAAATGTAAATCTCTTACTGGGAATTTATCCTAGAGATGTACTCACACACATGCTCAAGGAAACATGTACACTGACAGCCACTGCAGCCAGACTGAAACGTACATGAAGGGAACCAACTCATGGTCCATCATTAGGGGCAGATCAAATTAAACTATGGTCACTCTGAATAACAGAATACTAAGACCGTGTTTAAAAAACAAACAAACAGGTGCCAGCCCAGTGGCATAGTGGTTAAGTTTGTGCCCTCTGCTTTGGGGGCTGGCATTCACCAGTTTGGATCCTGGGTGAGGACCTACACACTGCTGGTCAAGCCATGCTGTGGTGGCATCCCACATACAAAATAGAGGAAGACTGGCACAGATCTTAACTCAGTGACAATCTTCCTCAAGCAAAAAGACGAAGATTGGTAACAGATGTTAGCTCAGGGCCAATCTTCCTCACCAAAAAAAAAAAAAAAAAAAAAAACACAAAAAACCCCCAAACTACCAAAAAAAACAACAAACAAAAAAACTCCACTACTAGGCAGATCTATATGTTCTTTTATAAAACAATCTCTAACATATACTGATAAGTGGAAAAAGCCAGGTGAGGTACTGTGCATATAGTATGCTGTCATTTGTGGAAAGGAGTGATGTATGTATGTGAGTGTTTGCATAAGGTTTGAGTATCTCTGAAGGGACACACTCCTAGTGGCGACAACAATGTGCTGGAAAGGGGTACTGGAGACTAGAGGATGAGAGAGAGGAGGCTTATCACTGTAAAGCTGTGGAATTTTTTTACAATGTATATGCGTATTACCTATCTTGGAAAAAATTTCAATCAATTGACTTGGAATTTAAAAAATAAAAATAAACAAAAATCTAAAGGGTTATGAAAAATTAAAATAAATAAGTTAGCAAGTAGCCTAATACAGTAACCATCAGCATGTCGTACGTGTTCAATAAACAGTAGCCAACACCTAAAAGGATTATTATCTTTACTTTATGGGCAAGTAGATGCACTCAGAGAGGGTGAGTAACTTGCTCAAGTCCACACAGCTGGCATGTCGCAGGGCTGCAGTTTGGGCATAGAGATGGCCAGCCTCAGCACTTTTTTCCAACCTTACTTTACGGCCCTTCCCCCATCCTCCTTGCCCCAGACTGGGAGTTCCTAAGAGAACAGTGTCCTCTTCAGCTCTGTAGGCCAGTGTTCAGCAGAGGGCAAGGCCTGGCACAGAGCAAGTGCCACAGGAAGATTTGCAGAAGGATAAACATTGTATCCTAGACCTTCATTCAAAGAGTTCCATGGGAGTAATGGTGACAGCAGCCTTTTAATTGCCCCGTTCCCAGGGGAGCTTACAGGGAAACAGGTGTCCTTCCTGTCATGGGCCAGGGGACCTTGATACCTGAGAGCTTAGAGGATGCCTAGCTTGGTTGAATGAATGAATGCATGAGTGAATGAATGAATGAAACGCCGAAAGAAGCGATGCATCAGCCTTATGGTGCAGAGCCCCGGAGACAAGCACAGGCCCACCACCTCTCCACCGCGAGAAGACAACCTAGGAACACAGCTGCCCATCTCAGCACGCTCTGTCAACGAGTGGCTGTCGGACGCATCTGATCAGGAGGCAGCTGGTGCACAAGCAGTTTCAGCCCTCTCTTCCATGCGAATGTCAAGGCCCAGAAGCCACCTCAAATGTGTGACTCAGAGGTGACCCAGGGTTTTACGTGGCTGGGAGCCAGTTCAAACCCAGCCCCGTTAGCTGCAAGCCCCAGAGCATGGGAGGGCACTGTCTACATCAGAAATCTGACATTGGTGAAGGACATCTTCACTGATCTATTCCACTGAGCTTGGCAGCTTCATCAAGGCATCTTTTTAGGAAGGGTGGGCCTGAGCTGGGTGGACCTTTTATTTCTGGATCCTCTGAGATGTCCCAGGATTGGGAGATGAGCTTGAAGATAGAGCCTCCTGGCAGCAGATGGGAGCAGGGCCAGTCCTTAGGGGTGGCCTTCAGGGGAGGTCAAAGGCCTGCCAGGAGTCTAATTGGCTTTCACTTGGGTTGGACACTGGCTTTCTTGGCCCTGAAGACACCAGAAACCAAGTGCAAGAATCCAAAGAGCTAAACCTTTGCAGTGTTTGCTTGGCTAGGTTTCCTACAGACACGTTGCAAGAGGAAGGCTGCACGCAAGGTGAAGTTGCAAGAAGGCACCGCGGCGGAGGCTGCACTGCACAGCTCAGGGCAGCAGCCAGCGAGAGCAGAAATCCCCCAGGCTGTTCTCAGGCCTCCCCGCCCTCTATCCCTGTTAAGTCAAGGTTTTAGTAAATGGTGTTGAGCTGGGAGAGTTTGAGCTGGACCTAGAAGCAGAGCTTTGAGTGCGCGTGCGCTTCATACCCCAGTAGAAATGGATTTTGGATGACCTGCTGGATAAAATTAGTGGCTCGCCTCCCCTGCCGATCCTTTCCTACTTCCTCCAGGCCACTTCCTTTTCTCAGGCCAGCTCGTTTATTTTTTAACTTTTTTTGGTCATCATTACCCATTGCTTCCAACCAGCTTCCCTTTTCTAGACTTCCCTTCTCATTAGGTGGCCCAGATCCTTTTCCTTCTTCTCTCTGAGGTCGTTTTCATATTGCTTCCCCCTGTCTTTTGGCCTCCTGTCCTGCTTACTGTTTTCTAGATGCACTGCATCTTCTTCTTTTTTTACCCTCCTGGGTCTCTGTTTATGGCTTTTTAGGGCCTTGAGTGAAGACTGGGTTTGAGGTTCAGTCTAACGCTAAGAAAATTGTGGGGTTTAATTGTTTTCCTTTGCACCAAATGAAACTCCACAATTGCTTAAGTCCTGACCCCAGCTCTTCCCCTAGGGAAGCCATTGTGCTACTGACGTTCCAGAATCTGAGGTTAACCTCAGAGAAACCCCACTTTAGAAAGAGAGGAGGTTACCATTCCCGGGTGCCTACTAAGTGTCATGCTCCATACACAAGATCCCATTTCATTCTCTCCAGAAGCTCACACGAGAAATGGTTATCTCCACTGAACAAAGTAACCAACAGCAGCCCGGAGAGATGGAGATGACTCGTCCAAGTGATGAGGATCAGGGCTGCCCCAGGGAGAGAAGCCCAAGGCGTCCTGCCCTACATACCGATCTATATCATCCTCCCGGAAGCACAGGATGTCCTGACCTGATCCGATCTGATTCTTACCAAAAGTTATATGACCACCAAATAACCAGACCAGACCCCACCTGCACTGATACCATTTTAATGACTTTTTTTTACATAATCTTTCCTTTATCTTGTAAAGCGAGAACTCACATACCTATGCCTTAAATTTAGCCCTACCCTCAACCCATGTTTGTAGCTCTTCCCGCCCATGGGTTCTGTCCCCATGCTGCTCCATGCTATTCTCTGAATAAAAGAGCACTACTGCCAGACCCTGACAGTCCAAGAAATCTTTCTTTCGACTCCTCAGCTCGTCGAGCCCGCATCACAAGGAAGAGAGAGAGCCAGGATTTCAACCCAGATGCGTCTCTCCATAAAGCCACGCTCCCTGCACTGCTCAATGCTTTCCGTCTTGGAGGGGAAATCTGCAGGCTATCACAGGCCACTTCTCCAGAACTCGAACTGAAGAAT